ATAACTTTCAGCATGCCTTTAGAGCAATACAGACACAGTGCATACTGTTCCATGCGCTATTCATTCTTCAGTATTACTATTACAAAGATACTATGCATTTTCCCACCATGGTAAAGCTTAAGATTCTTCAATGTAAAGAAAATAAAATAAAACTGAACTTCTGTATTTCCTATAGTATTATATTGTAACGCTTACGGCCGACAAGCACTGTGTCTAAGAGCCGGCGTACCAGAGCAGGTGACGTCACCGCCCTTCCCTGTGATAGCAGGACTACAGCTACTGGGCTGTATAGAGAACTCTCTTTAGCTCACGGGGCTGGGTCGCTGCAGAGAGACGCGGGAGTCCCGGGTTCGAGCCTCCAGTCGGGATGGGGCCAACCAGATGCGGCAAGGGCGCCCGCCTGAGCCCCCGTTGCGTTACAATATTCATTTCTCTAGCTTTAACATTGTATAGTTCTACAGTTCCTCAAAACATTGTAATAACATTGCAAACCTGCTTAGTTTTTTGCTTATTTCACATACACATGTACAATTCTTAAAAGAATTATCAACAAAGAGAGCAATAAGAGAGTTGATGTGTGTTTTCAGTTGGTTAATTATTCTTATTGTTCCCTCTGAGTTCTCTCTCTTTGTTCCTCCAGAATTAAACGTTCCTCTCCTCCAAAGTAGCTTTTTTTTCAACTTTATCTCTTAACCTTGGCCAGCTTAAGCAGTGACCAGAGTTTTGATGCAAAAGTTCTGATGATATAATCAAAACATTTGGCAGAAACCACATTTTGCAAAATAGCTCAGAAAAGCTCAGGTTAAGTTGTGTGGGAATGCTTCAGTGTTGAGTCAAGGCTTATCAGGACTAAAAGGGAAACTCTGATCTTTTTGAAATGGAGCATATTAAAAGGCATCTGAAATGAAACTTGCATCGGAGGTTCTTACATAGTGCTAGCCTGAGCCTGACGGAAAAACACGATGTTCTGTTCTAAATATGGAAGCAATAAAAATAAATGGCTTCATCCAGAAAACCCTCATATTTCATAAGTTTTCTTCATTATTCCTGCTTGTAACAAAAATTAAATCCAATATCCATTTGCTTGGGAATGAGGCTCCCACATAGCTGAAATAAATCCAAAATGTAATGTTTGACCAAGAATGACACGAGATATTTAGTACTAAACATCGTTTCAATGTTTCTTCTGCAGTAGGCACTGTTTTGGGAGGGGTAGAGAGGTGTAGGGGCAGGTGCTTTTAAGGGATTTTTTAAAACCTTCACTTTTGTCTAAAATAATTAAAAAAAATGTACCTGGGGTAGAACTAGCTCTTCTGCTTGAGAAAAAGACTAATGTATCTACTGTATGTTGACACTTCAGTTTCATTTTTTAGATAATGTGGGCAATACAAATGGGAAACATAATGTTAGGATATATAATATAATTATATATAGAAAGTGTAGAATTTAAAGTTCAATTATGTTAAAAATTGCACAATATTGATCACTATGTTACCAAAATAATCTTGCTGCTCTGGAATAAGTATACAGTATAGAAGAGAGACCGGTTACATTCTCAGGCTCGAAGAGAGCAATAAGGAATGCCCTCTTCTGATATGCTAAAAACTTTTTTTTTTCAGTTTCGGATGGACAAAGGACACAAGTGGATTCATCTGAACGCTTCAAAATCCTCAAAAACACTGACAAAGTCAACACTTTGGGCTTCTTCAACAGTAAAAATATGAACCAAAGGGAAAACATTAGAAACTATGGGGATGTACTTTTGCACAAACATTGTTGTAGTAGTACAGAATAAACTACCCAGTAATTCTGTCAAATCTAATACCTTGGCTTCTTTAAAGAAGAGGCTGGATGAGATCTTTGGATTACTTAGCTAATATTGACCAAACTATGCATATTGTATCTTTCTAGCAAGGTCTAGCTGTAAACCCATCTTGAAAAGCATACAGATAGAAAGACCTTTATAATATCTCTCTTCCTTTATATACTATATGTTATTCTTGGTGTATCTATACATTTTGGAGATTCATAATTTTGTATAATTTTTACCAGAAAGATTTTTTTTTCTGTTAATATCTGAAATGTAAATCCAAGTAGGAAATCCCATTAGGTCTTTATAAATGACTCTTGACGTCTACAGTCTGTAGTAAACCTCATTTTGCAACTCTGGAATGTGCTCGGAATCAGTGGTCGCCAAAATTGTGTTTTGCCCTTGACGATGCCCTCTACATTTCTGCTTTCACTTTCAAATGACGCATATAGAAATACTGCTCGCCCACCTCCAAAGTTTCTGTTAGCCCTGAAAGAGTTTTGAGTACCTTATAAATGGGATTACATTTCATTTAGCATACAGTTTGTACTTTTCTTTGAGAATACTCTTTCATTTTCCATTTTAAAAAGTGGCATTTAATGTGAATCAAACAGAATGAGGTACAGTAATATTCATAATTCAACTGAAACAGCTTTATTTCCTAATAGTAACTCTTGGTATGAAAAAAAATTTTTCCTATTTTCACAGCTGTTGACCTCTGAGGGCACAGTCCAGCTGAATTTTACCAAAACAGTAGGACTGTATGCAATGATCCATTAACTCCAGGGCAAACAGATTATTGAAAAAAAAGATAATGACCAAGGAGTAGGATATTTGTCTGGGTTACAGCCCAGCAAATCCAACAAAGCCAAGTAGGTCAATTTCAGAAAGTCTGTCTAATTTCATAACTTAATTTGTCTGAAACATTAAAACATTTCAGCTGGAGCATAAACTTCAGGATGTTTTTGAATCCTCTCCACCAATCGAGAAGCAGGGATTCACTACTCTACTCTATAGGCTACTCACACATGCTGACCAGCACAACTTTCTGTGAAAGAGAGAAAAAGCAAAGTAAAAAACGCAGAACACAGATTGTAATCAGTTAGCTATAATCCCGACGTGTATGGTAAGTGTAGCCTAGCACTGGCTGGGGTAAACACAACCCAAATACCCTACAAGGAAAATGAGTAAACTGATAAGCGAGATATTTGGTAAGGTCAAGTTAAAAGGGAATGGGATTTTATTATTTTCAATAATTTCAATAAATATTGAGCATGTTTTTGTTTTTACATAAACCTCCAATTAAACCAAGCCCTGTTTCTTCCCAATAAAGCTTGTGCCAGCATTGAATTGGGCACCATCTGCTTATGACTGATAAATGCCCTTTCCACAGCTATCCTGGCTTATTCATGCTCAGGAGCCCATGCTTCTTCTAAAGGGCATCTGGCAAGACTGAAGGAGAGACGCAGCTCTCACAGACTCCTCTGCAATCTCCCGGGCCCCCTACAGGTCACAGATTGTGCAAGTGTCACAACCCCGAAGAAATAAGGCACTATATCTCGGGGGGAAAAGCAGCACAAATGCTGCTACTTTCAATGGCACTGACCAGCAAACCATCATTATTTGTGCTGTTTGCGGTGGTGTCAAGTTAACAGAGCTGTTACAGTCAGCTAATCGAGTATACTGGACTAGAACTAAAGATGTCTGGACTGTAGGTCTCAGGATGCAATCTAAGCAGTCATTTTTATAATAAAGATTAATAATACATTTAATTTGATATGGTACTTTTTTTAGTACATTTTACTGGCTGCGTTACTCAGAAGCTACACATGCTGTCATTTTAAATGCACTGTTTTCGCTCAGATGAACTCATCTGGATGATATGGTATTCAGTAATTCTCATGAGGAATTCATGAGCAGGATCTACACCAATGGACAACAAATCCCATACACAGCCTTTGTCACCTAACCCAAAGCATTTTTTCAACTTCATTAGACATAAATCTTGTATTATAACCTGAAAGTACACACTGCTACATGGGAATGATCAGTTTGATGACTGAATACAATACAATCACGTGCTCAAAACGCACCAGTTCCACAAAAACAAGGCAAATACACTAAATAATTCCTTTTAACACGCATACAAATCAATGCAAAAATGTGTATACTACCAATAGGTCCCACATTACAATTGTACAGCTTGCCGTTATGTCTAAAAAGCTACAAATCCGCGATTTGCAATGTTAAGTACTCCTATCAATTCGTTCCAACAGACGCTAATATCTCAATCTCTTATTACGGCTGCAAGACTGTATGCTACCAAAATATGTGCTCCTACCGCCATCTAGTGACAACACGTTATATTGGCTTTTAAATACCTAAAAACGTACTGTACTTTGAATTCAAAATACACGGTGCAACCTCAAAATGTCAATGATACAGATTAGAGACAAATCGCGAAGGGCAATATTTCGTCCATTTTTTTTTTATTCCAAAGGGAATCTGATGTGTTACAGCATTATGTAAAAGGCTCACTGCATATCATTGGCTTCCCACCATTGCTTAATTTCCTTCAACGGACGAATTACTTTTCTCTTAAACCCATGCATTTACCTTCAGAATACCTGTACGTGTGTGTCCTGTCATTCGTTGCGTCGAGTCTGTCCTCAAACTCTTCCCACAAACAAAACAGGTGTCATGGCTAAATTCCACTCTGGACCTTCTGTCTGAGGTTTTCCTTAATTTAATTAATTACAGCTGGGGGGAGGCCATTCTGTGTTCCTACAGTTCAACCCGTTGGGTAAGAAAGTGCTTCCTATCCTCGGAAATGCACTTACATGCTACAGTACAGTACGTATTTTACTTCTCGGTTTTTCACCGTTCGTTCTGAAAAGTCCACCGGGTTGAGTTTGTTAACGCCTCTGGGGATTTTGAACACCTATAAGATCCATTTGTATTTTTTTTTTGTGGGACTGCAGAATGTAGCACAAATGAGCCAGGTGGTTGCTGCACTTCAGTGGTGAATAAAATCGGTCTCATCCTACCTATGAAGTATTTCAGGATTCTTTGGGATGAAAAGCGTTATTCTGTACTAATGCAAATAAAATGAATACGTTAAGTCGTCACCTCATCAAGAAAAAAAGACTTGCAAAACCCTGAAACTCTCTCTTTTGTTTTCCTTTTCCAGCTGAGCTACAAGTTACTTAAACACCAACCTGAACCAGCTGCACCTGTTTACGAGCTGGAAGAGGTCGAGAACGGTCTGACACTGGAAAATGTCCCTTGTGAATTTAAGGTAAGTAATCGAGAACTCAGCTAGAACAAAAAAAAAAAAAACAGACAACCGAAGGATGTGCTCTGGACATATTTATATATGAAACATCTAAAAGCAGTGTCAAGTAAATTCTCGGTGTGGGGGAAAAACAGAAAGTCTGGGACCCGAGGAATTCCTCACAAGGAACTGCAAATCCCAGGAAGTCGCACTGTGACTGCTGCTGACAATTGCTCTCTCCTGCTTCATTGATGCTTGACGCCGCCAATCGTCTTGAGAAACGGGTCGCACTGCGTACGGAGAGGCCAATGAAATACCTCTGAAGGAGGGAATAAAGTTTCAGGAGACGTCACAGCCCGAGCCGCAGTCTTGCCTGGCACAACCGGGAGCGGGGTTTTCGGCCTGGGGATCTGACATTGGCACGGAAAGTGCAGGTAAGAGCACAACCAGCTCCCCAGCTGTGTAGCATCTCCATTTCGTTAATGCAACCCGCTTTGCGGAAGCAGCCGGGGTATGTGTGCTTTCTGTGCTGTAAAGATGATACTGCCGTCAGAGGCCTCCTAAGCAAGGTGTCGCTTACTGCTTCTTGGCACAGAAGGCACACGATCCCAGTTACTGTACGATTAAGTCGAAACATCGTTTCATGCAAATAACTCGCTAGTTTATCGGTAAATTAACACCGGCGTGGATTCGCCGCTGTTTGCACTAGAATTGCTGTTTTGTCGCTAGTGGACGTCATGGTTTTATTTGCACCATCAACACCTTTGGTTTCGTATTTATCTTACTTTGTTTTGGTTTTTTTTTTTGCTTGCGACTACCCCTTTCTACAAATCCGTGCACTATCCCTAAATCCTCTTCTTAAATGACAATATTAGACGTTAATATACTTTAAAACGGAATGCTCCAGAATTGCTTAAAACATCCGCAGCTTTTGAGCGATTCATCCCGCCTATTGCGTCTTTCTTTAAAGACATTTAACTGATATAGCCATTTATATGCTTTTTCGTTGGTGCAGTCGCTGTACCCTCATTATCACAAAATCATTCTGGTTGGCATTTTTCAGCAGCGTAATTTAAAGGGGCACTGCAGGCAGTCAGGGTGGTGCAGACAGTCACTAGACTTAGCCCCTACCCTCTTGCTAATATAGCTGCAGTTCAGCCTAGAAGAGTCTGAAGTATTCAGGTTTACGGCCTTTTGATTAAAGTGCTGTCCACTGCAGTAGTCGCACCGCGCAAATACAGACTGGTCTGGACCAAGGTACGAAACATAAGAAAGGATATGAAGGAGGAGGCAATTCGGTACATGTAGCCCGTTTAGTTGTTGGAAGTTGCTATCATTCCTGCAGTCTCCACTTTGCATGAGCACTAGGTACTTTGGAATTTTAAAAAAGCTGAGAAAGTATGGGGCTTGAGAGCGATTTTTACAATGTAAGTCAGTTCTTTGAGCCTGAATTTACCCATCTCATTTTGAATAGTGGTTGATTTAAGTATTTAAAATCTGCGAAGGCAGAGCAGAATCAACCTTGCAGATTTCTTTAGAATCTACAGAGGCTATGAGCAGGGAGCTATTGTACGTGCAGGTACGTTTAAGACAGAATGGGGAATCATTCTTTTTACAAAGGGATGTGGGAATGTGGAACAAGCTGCTCAAGCAAACAATCTGTTTTTTTCTTTTGCAAGAAAAGGCTGTAGGAAATCTTTGGATAATTTAGCTACAGAAAAACGAAACAAGCGAAATGGGCCTCCTCTCGTGTAAACCATGCTAAATGCTACTCTTAGGAACATTACAAAACGCATCAGTTCATTATACAGAAGTGCATCGTAGTCTCCTTCCAAGTTTAAAAGATACAAATGCATTACCAAAACAGGATGATTTATTCCACAGTGCAGTGCATTTATTATTGAGTTCCATCAGATCACAGACGGGGAAATTATGCTTTATCTCATTTGCTCCTCTCCTCGCCAGGTGGAATTGGCTACAGGATCATGGCCTCGGCAGCCACTTTGGACCCAGACGTGGTGAGAGAGGTCTTGGAGTGCCCCATCTGCCTGGAGACCTTCAACCGGGAGCAGCTGCGCCCCAAACTCCTGCAGTGCGGGCACACGGTTTGCAGGCTCTGCCTGGAGAAGCTGCTGGCGAGCACCATCAACGGGGTGCGCTGCCCCTTCTGCAGCAAAGTCTCCCGCATGAGCAGCATCTCCCAGCTGGCGGACAACTTGACCGTGCTGAAAATCATCGACTGCGCCAGCTCCGGCTCGGCGACCAGCCTGATGTGCAAAGGCTGCAAGAACCGGCTGCCCAGGCAGTACTGCAAGGACTGCGGCCTGGTGCTCTGCGATGCCTGTAAAGCAGAAGGGCACCAGCACCAAGGGCACATAGTCCTGACTGTCCGCTCAGCTGCAGAGCAGCGGAGGAAAGAGGTGGGCGCCAAGCTCGCCATCTTGCGGGAGACGATGGGGAATATCCAGAAGAAAAAGGCCATGATCGACGGCATCTCGAAGTCCCTGCGGCTGAAATACAAGGCCGTGCAGCAGGAGTACGCCAAAGCGGAGCTCAGGCTCCAGGAGGAGCTGACGAAGTCCCGCAAGGCCTTCGCCTCCTCGCTGAGCGAAATCGAAAAGCTCAACACCCAGATCCTGGAGGAGCACACCTACCTGCTGAACATCGCCGAGGTCCAGGTGGTGTCCCGCTGCGACTATCTCACGATGAAGATCAAGCAGGCCGACATCGCTCTGCTGGAGGAGGCCGGCGACGACGAGGAGCTGGACTTGAAAAGCAACCTGCCCGCGCTTTTGAAGCTGCAGGATCCGGAGCTGGCGAAGGTCGAACGTTCGGAGCCTCTGGACGTGGGGCAGGTGGTGAGCAAGCAGTGTACCGTCGACACAGACGAAGGCTCCCATGACATAGCTGCGCTGTCGCTGGATGTGTACCGTGACGTCGACATGGCGACGGAGGAGGCTGCCTGTGCGTCGCCTAGCATCAAACCCAAGCCAGTGGAAGCGGCGGCTGCTGGATCCCACCTGTGTCAGTTCATTAAGAAAATGGGCTGCAAGGGGAACCTGCCAGGAATGTTCAACCTCCCGGTGAGCATATGTGCCACCATGCAGGGAGAGGTGCTGGTGGCTGACCGGGGGAATTACAGGATTCAGATCTTCAACCGCAAGGGCTTCCAAAAGGAAATACGCCGGAACCCCAGTAGCATTGACAATTTCGTCCTCAGCTTTCTAGGTGCGGAGCTTCCCAATCTTATCCCGCTGTCGATAGCCATCACACCTCAGGGCTTAATTGGAGTGACGGACAACTATGATAATTCAGTGAAGGTGTATACAATCGACGGGCACTGCATTGCCTGCCACAAGAACCAGCTGATCAAGCCCTGGGGGATCGCCGCCATGCCCTCAGGACAGTTTGTAGTGTCGGATGTAGAGGGGGGAAAACTGTGGTGTCTCGCGGTAGACCGGAATGTTGGGGTGGTGAACTATAACCGGCTGTGTTCGGCTGTGCGCCCAAAGTTTGTCACGTGCGACACCAGCGGGACGGTGTATTTCACTCAGGGGCTGGGGCTCAACATCGAGAACCGGCACAACGAGCACCACCTGGAAGGAGGCTTCTCCATTGGGTCGGTGGGCACTGACGGGCAGCTGGGCAAACAGCTCAGCCACTTCTTTTCCGAGACGGAGGATTTCCGTTGCATAACCGGAATGTGCGTTGATTCCAATGGGGACCTCCTGGTGGCAGACAGCGGCCGGAAGGAAGTCCTGCAGTTCCCCAAGGATGGGGGTTTCAACGTTCTTATACGGGAAGGGCTTACGTGCCCAGTGGGCGTTGCCGTGACTCCAAAAGGGCAGCTGTTGGTGCTGGACTGCTGGGACCACTGTGTGAAGGTGTACAACTACTTGCAGAGAAGGCGTTCATCAACCTGTTAGGATCGCAGTCACTTTGGTCCGCTTCCTCATGGGAATTCATAGCGATAGGAGACGCATTTGCAATTCAGGCACCTCTGCTGCTTTTCGGTAGCACAGCAAGCAATACAAATGGGTGTTTTTTTGAGAAAACAGGTTTGTTATATTTAAAAACCCAATTTTTACATCCATCGGTCCCATTTTAACGGCTCATTTCCAATGAGATTACTGTTAAGATAGATTCATTCTTTGTCAAATCAGCCATAACGATTTTGCTTATACCGTGTGTAAAAGAAGATTTACATTTGAAGATTTGCTGAAATACCTCCTTTTATTGGAGTAGGCAGGGAGCGATACTTTAAAAACCTTTAGGGTTGTCATTGAGGATCAAAAAGGGATATGTAGAAAGTGAGAACCATTATGAATATATATGTAATGGTATCCAGGCAGATCTGCTCTAAAAGTCATCACAAATAACTACAACTGCTTCTGGTGTACCTAGGGGCCTTACAACTGAAATAAATACCCAATTGACAATCTCTAAGAGATTTTGTACATGCTTGCCTAAAGTAAAGGAAATATCACTATAAAATGAACATAATGCACAATATTAGGAGTTAGACTTGAGTTTAAACCAAACGAAACATAAATAAATACTGTATATAACAACAAAATCATAAAGGGTGAGTAATTTGTTTATGCAAGTGGTTTGTCACAGGGATACAGTGGTCCTCATATTTTCATTCTGGAAGATATTCTGAAAGATTTGAGGCAAGTGTTCTTATCATAGGATCACAAACTCTTCCTAATCCAATAATCCATGCACTAGGGCCAACAGTTATCATGTATAGCAGCAATTATCAAGCCTGGTTTCAAGGCAGCATTGTGGAGCATGATGGCAAAAATCGAGATGTTTCACCTACTGACAACTCTATCCTTCAGTTCATTCCTATGGTCAATGCAGACAGATATTGTATAAAAGATATTAGGCTATATGCTTTTACCATCGATCAAGGAATGGAAGGCAGGATTGGTTTGATGAAACACTGGCCGAGATGCAATGGTACACAACCATTTAGCAAAATCACCTTCTGGCAAAGCTCAAGCTGAGTTGACACCGAATGACCATTTTATTTGGGAGGTGTTCTGTGACATCTAAATTAAAATATCAGCTAACTGTTAGATTTGATTTGCTGCACATTGACATGCACACATTACTGTAGATCCTCAATGTAGCACCCCCTATTTAAAAAAAATGTATGATTCAAATTGTCTTTATAACAATATTACATTTGGAATAAAGCCATTCCACAACTACTTGAGTGAAATACAGGGAACTTTATTATCGGCTCTTCAGTAAAATAATTGAGCTGCCATTTCATTTTTTGATGAATGGCTTCTCTCGTGCTCTATGTGCTCTAAATAAACAAAAATCCTTTAATTTCCTAGTGAAAAAAATAATTATTTATTATCAAGAGCCAAGGATTACAAAATATAGTATTAATACATTTGTCTCTGAGTGATTCTTTTTTAAAATATATTTTATGACTGTTAAAATGGACTGATTCATTTTTTATACAGTATGAAACCATAAATATAACACACTTTATAACTGTATATCGTCTGTATAGTGAGCTTTATGATGACCACATACCATACCAACACCTTAGTCATTTGTACAGTAGGATTTACTTTGAACATGGCGATTGATGTTAAGTGTCATTGTGTTTACGTATAGTCTCCGAATAGAGGAAGATACTGCATAAAGACTAACAATGAGAATTCACCTAGTGATTTTTACTTAGTTTGCTTGGTAAATTGTAAAATCTGTTTCATTTAAATATACTGTAGGTTTTCAGGCTCCTGTATAAAATACAAGGTAAAAGTTCACTCACCTTTACTGGTAATTTATTCTACAGTATGTGTGTTATTGAACTTGGGTATGCCTTTGGAGTCTTCTAATATAAAACATATTTTCTAAGTTGTTTTGCTAGCCAAAGTGTCTGAAAACCCTGTGTTATATTTATTCTGATCACAAAAGTTATCAATCACTGTCAATTACCTGTTGTTTTACGTGTAAATGTTATCTTGCCATAAGGCATTGCTGTTATGTTACTGCAGTCAATGTTCTGTGTAACATGATTCCATTCACTTGTTTGTATTAATAAATACCTACTGAGTGCAATAAATCTTAAACTGCAGAAACCGGAGTACGAAAACATTTCTGAAAACAATGTGCTGTTCAAGGTGCCATAAAAATAGGTCTCATAGTGAAACTAGCCCTGTACCCTTTTTCAAGTTGGGTTCTCTTTGAAAATATTTCCAGATGCATACCTACAGTGTGGTTGAATAAATAAAGTAATTCTACACAGTTCCTCGGTGGTTACCTTCTGAATACATTTCTGCAGTGTGTTTTGAGTAATCCTAGGCTTTGATTTGTTAATTAACAAAGTAATACTTTTAATACGTTAGTATAATGGTTGGTGCTATGAATAGGTAGACAGCAGTACTTTAATTCAATGAATGTTTCAAACCTCATACCAGAGACACTGTAGCTTCGTCATACACAGAAAATGTCATGGAATATAAAATCATTTTTGATTTGTGTTTGAAATAAATTTTCAATGCTTTCTATTGTAAATTAAATACACTTTACAACTGTTTTGTAAGTGGTGCAGAGTTAAGAACAAATGTCCTCAAATGACCCTTTACTGAAGGTCTTTTTGCATTGAATTTCATTGGATATTCCAGGTGGTCAGCTCAACTGCAGATCTGTTATATGCCTCACAATTGGAATAATTGCCTAACTTTACTAATAACTTTCAGAGCCTTATTATAATGCTTTGTAGAATGCCCATGTACTGTAGACGCATATTAGTCACAATATGAATTTATTAGATTTTGGTGTCATGTTCTGAAGAAATGAAGAAATTTAGGAGTACATGCACATAACAGATTTACATATAAGCTACCAATTAATTTTAAAGTAAAAGAGTAACTGTGTTGCTACAGTATAAATGTGTCTGCACCTGGTTCTGTTAAAGCAAGGCCAAAAGCAAGTATTGTTGCTCTAATCCGTTGAAGTATTTGGTGACAATATCCACATTTTCAATAACTAATTTTGTAATAATTTTTCAACATTATAATAATGATGTCCTTATACTTAACATAGTAACTTAAATATAGAGATACCATTAACTTTTCAACCTAAGTGTTATATACTATTCAAAGTAAAAGATTCTAACTTTTACCAAATTATATATTCAATATGGCCTTTCATGGTAGATATTTTCTGCATAAAAGCATGTAAAGAAAGATGTAAATTCAAAGGAGTCTTTACTATAAAATAATTCCATTACAGTATGTTAAAGCTAATCAGATACAGCTTCAAACGTTCAGCAAGAGATATCTGAAACACAAAGGATAATTGCAGAATGTCTCTGAAAAAGTCATTCAAAAGTACTGGACTGGCTACACGGGACCTGAATCCTACTGACCTGTTATGGGTGGAGTTTTGAAAGGTCACAGCTACTGAAAATAACAAGCAATCTGAAAACATACAATTGCTTGTATGGAAAAATGTAGACCATAATTCAGGAGGATATTGATAACTGAGAGTCACCTAAGACCCTGACTTCCAGAAAATAAGCCATAATAAAGGATCAAGAAAGTGATTCACAGAATACAGTACATACTGTACTAGAAAATCTTCCAAATCACAACCATAAATACCAGCATAAAATATGTGATATTACAGGAACCAAAATTGGTGAGGCCGTGAAAATGCCTTTGTTTTTTTTTCCCAGGCATTGTTAATGTAATGTATTTATTTTTGTTTTTTATATAGTTTTTGTTTCTTCAACTTGCATACAAGAATCTGATTTCATTTTTTTTTACCCCGTCACCAAAGCTGGTGTTTGCTGTTTTTGCAAGACATTAAAACTGTCTTATCCCTGTGAAATCTCTTGAGAGAGCTTGAGATTCACAGTAAATCCCAAACCGTATAGGAAATGAGCTATGGCAAATAAAAAATTAAAAAGTGCTATGTTGCATTACCTCCTTGTAGCCCAATCGCGTTGGAGGCTCAAGGGATGGGAACTGACCAAGAAAGTCAGATCTCAGCTTTAAGTGGTGATGGTCAGCAAGTAGTAGGTTTTCTTCCCAATGGACTTTACAGACTAATGCCACAGTATAGCAAAAGGGGATACCATGCTGAAAGAGCAGTGTCAGGACAGTTCAAGTTGCATGGTCATTAAAGACGTCATGGCATTCTTCAAAAGAGTAGGGGTTTAACTCTCCTGTCCTGGCCTAATTCCATGCTGGGTTGGCATTATCTGGCCTATCTAAAGTTACCCTTTAATGCACTGCTGAGGCCTCTTCTCATTTCTCTAGCTATTGTGTAGTGCGGCAGCAGTGCTCTTTTTAAACTACTAGGCAAAACAATGAAATCACCGCAGTCGTGGGCAGATGGCTGGTCTATACAGCATGTAATCCTGGAGATTTAGTAAATATGAAAGAACTGTGCCCAATAATAGATCAAAAACCAGTAGTAAAAATATGTATATACTGTATGTACTGTACTACAGTGTATATATATTCATACCAAGGGGTGGTTAGAGTAAGTAATAATGCAGGAGGTTAAACAGTGCTGTTTATGTTTGTAATAATCTGAAAATTATTGTAGTAAATGTGACTGATGTTGATCTATACACACATCATTTTCTGCATTTATCATAAAAAAACAAGGCAGAAGATATCAAGAAGAGCATGCCAACAATGATGACTGAATGGTAAATTTGTGAATGTGACAGCCAAATTACAAGCTTTCAGACTGAACGGCAACAAACTATAAAACTCAGTTATGATTAGTTCAGAAAGCGTGAGGAACTCTCCCCCTAGTCTCACCACCCCCCCACCAGCCCCAGGGTTTGGCAGATGCTGCTTAGCTGGATCATTGTATCAAAATGTATCAATATTGGCTGTGAGAAAATCAATCTCTGCTAGCTTTCTGTCAAAGCGAGTGAGATAGTTGTGTTCCACGCACTACTGATAATAACTGTTAAAAAAAAGCTGATCTCACCCTGAACAAAGTATTAACAGTCATGCACATCCATAATCATTTTATGCCACAATTACAAGCTGTAGACAAGTGATTGCTTTATGTACGTTTCTTAGAGTTGAATCCATATTTTAAATAGGACAGTTTATAATGTACTACCCTAGTATACTGTTCATACAGCATTATTTACTGCACCAGATGAATCACCCACAGTGAGAGCAGACAATGTACTCTCAACCACACAGCAATCATGCTCTCATTGTTCTTTCGCAGTATTTCTGAAGGGTGCAATCTTGACAAGAAAAAAAATGTCTTTGTTTAATGTGTATCTGAATCATCATAAAACTATTTCAAACTAGAATAGTTACCATGATAAAGTTAGCACCGAATCTCACTCTTACAGAGCTACAGGAGTGTGCCACATAAATTCTCAATGACTTAATTAAACTATTTGATTTAACTGGCCTAAACTGCCATTACTACAGTATTAAGAACGTCACGTGTGCTCTATACCCTGTGGGGCTGAGGTTCTGCAATATGAGTAGACAGGAGAAGCTGGCACAGGGATCATCAAGAAGCAGATGCACATAATAGTGGGATCAATCAGCTGCTATCAGTCCAGAAAGGAAAGATTAACTGTCCACCTTCCTTTAGCTAGTAATCCTTCTCTGTTTCATGTTCTTAAGGGTGTTACAAGTTGGGTTGTAGAACTGCCAGAGTCATTTGGATCAGGTCCGGAAAAAAATATCGATTTACTCTATACACATCCCTGCCCACAAAACTCAACACTAGAGTGCAGAATCACAGTGCAAATGTTTTTATCCTCCGCTCTCATTTTTGTTGTTACAAAAAATCTGCAAATGCAGATTGTGTCTCCTGCTTAGATGCATGAAATTGTTTACTTCTTCAGTGCTGTAACTGCTACTCAGTCTAGCACAGAAATAAAGAATCTTTGTGTTCTTTCTGATTACAATCTGCCTTTTGAAGCAATTACTTGTGATACCACTAGAGTGTATTATTTTACCAGCATAAAATCAACCTCATTTTTTCTTCTCTCTCTCAGATGGATGTAGAATAGCTAAGAAAAGCTGGTGTTCATAATAAAATAATTCAAGCAGCCTGCATGTTAACTACATGCAAGTCTGACAACATCTTCTAGATGTAAATGAAGTCTTAGCATCTCTGCATTGTCATCCTAACATTTACTACAGAACAGACTACTTTTGCAATCCTCTTTTACAATCTACTACTCTGTTTAGTCTTACAGTATATCTCTGGCATGTAATGATTTACAGAAAGTAAATGGTGATTTTTCAGTGTTCATACATTGTGGGAAAAACCAGAAAGCACTTTTAAATTTAAACTGGATGTCTGTTACTTCAGATTGAATTTTATCATGCTTTTATCATGTGTTATTAGTATGTCGTTTTTTTTCTCAGTTATTAGTTGTTTTCCATCCATCCATTTTCAAACTGCTTTTTTCAGGGTCACAGGGAAACCGGAGTCTATTCAGGCTAGCAACAGGAGCAAGGCAGGGTACACACTGGGTGGGACACCAGTCCATCGCAAGGTGGACAACAGAAACAAACACTGGGACACAGACTCACACCAGGGCCAGTTTTTCCCAAAGCCACTTAACCTACCAGCATGTCTTTTCACTGTGGAAGGAAACCGGAGCACCCGGAAGAAACACACACAAACATTTGTACGGGGAGAACATACAAACTCCACTGAAGTGAACTGAACACAGGCATCCAGCACTGTGAGGCAGCAGTGCTAACAACTGGGCTATATTACTTGTTTCATCTCTTCTAATTCTTTTGGGGTGATTATTAAAAGTGCACTATAAAATAATGATGATGGTAATCCAAGGATAAGCCTAAGGAACCGTATCTTCTGGCTCATACCTGACAAAAAAAAATGATATGACACCAAGACTATTATGCATTTTAGTCCTGACTCGGCTTGGTTGGAAACCCTCCTTTGTGGTAGAATGTCACATATTGTAGACAAACCAAAAGCGTTTTACCAATAGGAAGCTCATACTACTGTGTTTGTCTCTTCAACACCCAGTGGCAGATTTAACATGTTTGGAGTACTGCAGGACTGACTATAATGATACAGTATAATGCTACCCTTACCTTTTTGGTACTGTAGCCAGAGCTGCTGCTGCACCTTCTTGCTGGGGAAGTAGATGGCACAGGTGAGTTCAGAGCCGTAGAGAGCTTCTGCAATGTAGTGGCTGCCGTACTGCTGGAGAAAGGACAGCAGTTCCTCTCGTGTGCTCTCCATGTTCAGCATCTTCAATATCTTAGAGAAGTCTGGTAGGGGACAAACAAACCAGCTTATAAGACAAACACATGAAAACATTTCCTCCTTGGCAAGACAGCCCTTTCGCACAGTGCCCTCTCACATCTGTATAACAGAAATGATTGATAAAGAAATAAAAGTGAGCACCTTAACATGGTAGGCCGCTGCAAGCAAACGAGAGGAGCCAAGCACCCGTTGTTGATGAGTTTGCTACCTGGTGTGAACAAAACTCCCTCAAGCTAAATGCGTCCAAGACCAAAGATATTGTATGATAATTGACTTCAGGAAAAACCCACACCCCCACCCTAACCTAAATCAGGGGCAATTCAGTGGAGCTGGTAAAACAAGACATGTACTTGTGGACTCCAAGCTTAATTTCGAAGCCAATAGTGACTTGATCCTCAAAAAGGGATAACAGTGTCTTTTTTTCTTATGGAAGCTTAAGGATTTTAAGTTCGATGATTCCTTGTTGATTTTGTTCTATCGGCCCTTCCTCGAATCAGTTCTAACTTTTCCCCCGATCTGCTGGTTTGGCAGCCTGAATCTGAGAGGCAAGAACAAACTGCGCAGCCTGGTGAAAATATGTCAGCAGATTTTCCAGCCCTCTCCACCATCTATCTTCACACGTTTTGCATAAAGTAAAATCCTTTTGTAACAATCCTTCACACCCCTTGTTAAATGATTTCCAGTTACTCCTATAAGAATGCACAAGTTACTCCACAACTCCAAAACCAATAGATTTAAGTTCTCATTCATACTAGTAGCCACATCCTTACTTAACACTCTATACAAATATGTTTGTATATTGTTGTTAATGTCATGTTCTTTTTTCTGTCCAGCTGTACACCAACACTGCTGCTGTAAAACTAATTGACCCCTCGGGGATAATAAAGACTCTTTCTCTCACCTACTACTGTATATGAATATGAAAACCATTTATGAACTTTTCAGTCTGAAATTCCTAATCTGCCATTCAAAACATGTCAGTCACATAAAAAACATGAACATCTGAGGCATGCAATAATGTTGAATCTCCTCACAGTGGTGGAACACACACACATCAGGAATGTTTACTATTGTGGCCTTAGGAGATAATTCTTGGCTTATATTTACCTAATTATGGACAGCAGAAAAACTGATATTTCAGAGATTTTGCTAACTTTCAGTAGCAACATTTATTTAGGTACAACACAACAATTTGCATTTCAGTATTTAAAGCTACAGATATTATTCATCTAAGGTCACACAAGTAATGTGCTTTCCTAATTTAGTTTTAAAGGGGAACTGTGTTGATTAGCATCTGTGCCTCTATTTGTATAGATTTGTATTTGTGTCAGGTCTGTTTTTTTAACAATTTAGTTTTTACTGTAAAACAACACACTATAAAACGATGCATAAACATATTTATGATTATGAATTTTAACAATGTGCAATCTCCCCAAAAACAATTCCAACTCCATTTTTCAAACATGTTCAGACAGTAACAACACTAAAAGCACTTTCATAAAAGATTGTAGTGTTTTAAGGCTTAATAAAAACAATCAATACAAATAATTTAGTGATGAGCATTTCCCCCCCACAAAACATCACAGATTTCACAGTAACATTGCTGAATTAGTCCTGATTAGAGTAAAATCTAAACGTGCAATAGAACCTCTGTTATTTGGTAAACTTAATTAAGATTCCATTTAACATTTTATTTCTGCTTTACTCAACTTTTGTCTTGATGGAGGCTTCAAGTTAATCAAATTTGTCACCTCCTCCTTATTTTATGAATGCAATAAGTCATTAGTAACAGGTTTTGTAAAAATTGCTCCCCTGATATTACCATATATTACATTCTTCCCACAAATCAATATGTGGTGCTGAAGGAACAGCTCCAGGAAAAAAAATGCATACTTAATGTTAGAAATAAAAATGTATCCAGGGGCAGGAAGATGTTCACCAGCTTCCTGCACTACTACAGGTTATAGGTTTTGCCTAAAGCATGGTCATAAGCAGTATTATTAAAATACCACAAAATAAAAAATCTGCTTCATCCAGCTACAGTGCCTTTAGAAAGTTGACACACCCTTTCAAAGTAATACATTTAGTGGCCTAACAGCCCGAAATCAGGACACATTCAATCAGAATTTATTTGACCTTTATTTTCACACTGCAACACACAACCTCCAAGTGAAAAACAAATACTCAGACATTCGGAGAGGTAATTACCAGGAAAATTAGTTGGAAATGTGTCTGTGTAAATTACAAACCCTTCTATTCCAAACGACTGGTGCTTTTTCCCTGCAGGATAATTCAATACCCATGCTAAAGAGTTACATAAAATTAAATAAAATATTGAATATATAAATCCTGATATATCAAAGCAGCTGTATTTTTAAATTTTAGAACGCCTTAAAACTGGTTTACACTGTTTATGTCATAATAAATGTATTACCAAGTGCCACATTCAGAAGGACTCTGTTTGGCTTCCACCAAAACTTTGGAAAGTTAGAATGCTTCATGAAATTGCACCACTCTTCTAGTACCTACAGTAGTTTGAAGCGGATAAAGCCTGAAGCTCTGTAAGGGTTACTGTACCTGTGGACAGTGTGATTGCACTGAGCTTCACCTTGTACAGGTTACTGCGGACCCTCCATTGCTGTACCATGGGGTAACCCATCGCCTCATTGTACTTTGCATCTCCTGCAATTTCAACACAGAAAAACACAAGTTGTCCAACAGATCTGGATACCAGGAGATGTCAACTGTCTGGGTAAAAAGCAACATATTCCACTTTAAAATTACCCTTCGATTATTCAAATCTTGCCATGTCAGACTTGTAATTTATATCATTTCCTTGAGAATCCCCCTATTAAAATAATCATTTTTCGAAACGGTAAAATAACAAGCTGAAAGTCTCAGATAACAAACAGAACGTGTATTTGGATAAATGCCAAACTCAAAGTCACTAGTGCCCCCTCCCTCAATCTCTGCATAACCAAAAGAGTCTGTGCTCAATTCTGTATGCAAAAAACATTTGACAAGCAGAAGATGACTCAGTCAGTGTTCCTTTCACTTTCAAGTGACTGAAACTCCTCTGTCATTTTCTTGAAGTCTAAACACCTTCCATAACTCCCCCAGAAAACATACAACAATAACTGAATGAATGTCTGTCTTCTCTGAAGCAATAATAATGAATTATGTGAGGATCCCTCATTTTAACCAAAGCTCACAAGTTATGTTAGACCTCCTGCCTGGCTTATTACTATACAGTAACACTTTACAATAAGTGGCTACATTCATCCTATAAATTAGACATGAAATAATGCATAATTGCTTGCAGGATTACCTTGAAATGCAAATAAGTCACAATGTATTCAAGTTAAGCATTATCTATATCAATTCCTTTAGTTGCCTTTAGTTATGAACGGGGACCTATTGAGAAGTTACCTAAAATGCAAGTGCTTCAGTGAATTCAACCAGCCAACAGAATGTAGTATAGCTTTTTAAAATCTAACATATTCTTATGAAATAAGAGAACTGTACTGGATAGATTTTCTTGTAAGCGAAAGCTATATCAACTTTAATTGCTCACGTGACCACAAAGTAAGATGTCTGTGACTGAAGACATCTTCAGTTTGAAGACGTTCTTTGAACGAACGCATCACTATATTTTCATTGTACAGGAAGTAAGGTGAATTGAAATTAATTATTAATTAAGGAATTGACAAAATACTGAACTACTGTAGATTACCGCATGTGCATCTTGACGTTAAAAATAAAGGAAACAGAAACAGATATAAAGACTACAGTAGGCAGCCTGAAATCCTAGTTTCGGGCTTCAATATTCTCCTTAGCCCACCTGTCAGCAGCTGAAGATTGGGCAGTGGCTCGGAGAGAATCCCCCGACACTGTTCTTCCACAGGCAAGGGGATCACCATCAGCCCGTCCGCCAGCTGGGGAAAGTCCTTGATGAAGTTGTTATCCCTGAAACACACACAGGACACCAGACATGACTGTACAGTAAGTGCAGTTTCACAGCAGTTATCAGCCAAAAGAAATGAACTGTTGCTAAATATTGTCGTGAGGTATTTCCAAATACATTTATTACATCTTTATTACACTAGACGTGTAAATTGAGAACAAGTTCTAAAGGTGACCTAGAGTAGCGTTTATACAGCAGTAGATTGTGCAAGGAATTTCCATTTTTCATGGAACAAGTGAGAGAAGTACCTTGCCCCAAATGTACAACAGCAGCATTCCACCCAAAAGCATAGTACTCTATAGTATAGAGTCCTACACATTATTCCATACTACTGCCCTGAAACTGAGTTTTTATGTATTTTCTGTACCTGTCTAATTTTTCTAAAATGTCTAGAAGGTTTTGCCTAAGGCCCATCTCATTGTGATGATGATTGTTTTAAGTTATCTTCTGATGGTAAAAGAAATGCAACATTTTCTGGAATGAGAATACTATAGTTATAGCCTATGTATTTTCACAAAAAAGTTGTCAATTTGTTTTAACCCCTCTGACCAGCAATACAACTTGTGCAGTGAGGAATTGCAACTTGCCAATCACACAAAAGTTCGTTAGGTGCACTTTTACCCAACGAGGTCCAGGTGGAACAAGGCCTGATCAGGTCATCTTTAAAAAGGCCTTAATTCAGAGCTTAGGTCACTGCAAGAAAAAGGCCACGCTAGTCAGTTTTCTGTGCATTCCATAATGCCTTGAATGTCACCAGAAGCAAGGGAGAGGGCCATTGAGAAAGTTTTGGCAGACCGGCAGGACAGATGACCATCCAAGATCTGGTCTCCCTTGTGTGACCACACCAGAGCAGGACCGACACATCAGACTGGTCCATCTGAGAGATCGTTTCAGATCTGCCACCCGTACTGCTTCTGAAACTGCCAGCAGACACAATGACCACATCAGTGACAGGACAATGAGGCTCCATGCTGCTGCCCTTTGAGCAAGGCGACAGGTCAGAGGCCCTCTGCTCACAGCTCCTAGATGTCACACCGACTGGCTTGGGTCAGACAGAGGCTGCGATGGACTCGTCAGCAGTGGCATCAGGTCCTCTTCACGGATTAGTGACTCTTCAGCCTGTTCCACGCAGACGGGAGGGCCAGAGTGTGGAGGAGGAGGTGTTGTGTTTCTTTTTTCCATCAGTATATATGAGATAATGAATAGAACATCATCTAGTTGCTACTTTTTATATGGTTGTAACTTTCTATGTGCTCAGACTCTGTGATCTCTTCCATTCTCATTCCATTACACCAATTCTTGATAAAGGTCCACATTGAAATGATGTAAAAAAGCTTTTTGCATCACATTACAGATTGATACTCCAGAATAGCTAAAGACAATACACCTTTTGTAGTAAATATAACTTATGATGATAACCTGTTGTTTTAATTTCAGCTGTGTAGAACTGTTCCCTTGACAGCCCAGAACTAAAATATATACAATACAAAATATTCAAGTAAAAGCCCCTGGCTTTACAATCACAAAACTGCTTATTCCCAAGCCTACATACTGTAGGGAGGAGGAAGGTAAAATGGAATAAAGCTACTTAAATTACAGTCAGGCAAGTAGTCCCTAAAGGGCTACGGTTCTGCTGTGCAAGGCACAGGAGCTGTAAATAAAAACAGACATACATTCTCCCAGGATTCAACACAAATCTAAATCATTCCTTTCTATGTAATGTCAATGTTAAAGTGCTTAAAGCAAAATAGAAGCAGGTCATACCTCTTTCAAACAGTAAACAGTATTAATTTTTGATTAAAGCATTAACTCCTACATTATAAAACTGAAAACATCAGACAAAAAAAAGACGGGTTATGTCTTTATTTTTATCTTCTCCTTTCTTCACTCTTTTTCAAATGCTTTATATAAACAAAGAATTACTATGCACAAAGGACAATAAGTACTGTACAGTATCTTGACCAACCATCACAGGCAAAACTGATTCCTTAGGATCTCTCAAGAAATGGATGAATGAGGTCCTATATTCAATAAATTATTACTAATAACAATTTTGTTTGCAAATAAAATAATAAATAATTACAGTAATTGCACAAAAAATAATATAGTTCTTTTATTTTCAATCTTAAAAAGCTTTCAATATTGGAGGGGATCCACACTGTCCACAACTGATGTGCTGCCCCCAAGTGAATGAGCAGCCAATCTGCCCCAGCAGCTCCCCACTGTGTTTTAGATAGATAAAAATAAATAGATAAATCAAAGAGGAAAGGTAGACACATTTACAGATTGAAAGTTATCCAGAAAGGTGGTGTAACAGTACCTATCAACAGCAGCATGGATTCTTTAATAATCAAATAATCAAGACCTCAATAAATATCTCATCTGAAGGATGTCATTTCCTACGGCAGTGTCAAAAGAGAAGATTGGATTAGAAATTCTGGTCCACAGGGAATAGTGTCACCTCCTGGTCCACTGGAACCACTTACTGCACAACAGTAACCACGTTTTCCTTGAAGGTCTCACATCCCAGGACTGACCACGTACAGCCTTGGATGGTTTCTGAGATCTGAAGTCAAGGTGGTAACACTCAAGTGAGTGTGATAAATGGAACAGTCTCCTCTTATGTTCTAATGTGGGTACATGAACAATGTCTTTTTCAATGATCACCAAAGCTAAAGCAGACATCATTTGATTCATCTGTTGACTGACTTATAGTCAGATGACTAAAGGCTTATTGTCAGGATAATGAAAACGTTTTTAATGGAATCAGACACCCTGCTCCAGTGTTGCACAACACATCTAAAACAACAGGGGCTGAGTCAATTATTCCTTCTGTTTGCATCTCATTAAGAAGAGGTGAAGTTTGAGACAGTTTTGATTCACATCCTAGATGCATGACTTCTCTGAGGTCAGAAAAGAAAGCTCTGCGGTTTTTGTTAGCAGGGGTGAAATAACCTGCAGCAGGTGGAACAATGTTCTTTTTATCCTTAGTCTGGGATAAGCTTTCAGTGCTGTGGGCTCAGCCTAGTGAATTTTTTGCTCTGTTGGTAATGTTTATCCTGTTCTGTATGAGTGCAAACCATTAAGATGAAGGATTACACTGCTGGAAAAAATGAAGAGTTATTTATAATCTTTGGACTAGAGCAGTCATCTACCGGAAAGGAAACAATAGTAGCTTGGAAAAATATGCATTTCTAGTTCATAAGAACAACAGGTTTACTGTTCAGTGCTTTCATTTATAACACACAGTTTGAGATCTACCCTCTCTGGAGCTTTTAGATATAGACTACTCTGTTGCATTGTGCAAAAACTAACGTCAAATGGATTTTCACTGAAGCCTGAGGACATTTTATTGGATTTCAATGAAACACTTAGAGTACACCTGCCTAATATTTCATTAATGATACTGGCTTTCCCCAAGCACTGGTAATTTTTACACTGATTACTGCTCATACATCTGTTTAGACTCTGTATCTCTAATAGCAAACCCCTTTTGAATCTCAAATATTTACAAAAAGATGCCTCTTTGTCCCTTCAGCAAGCAACCCAGTCCAAAATTTAAGTATATCAGGGTCCAGATTTTGCTCTGCTAAGCCACTGTTATGAAGAGTTTTGTTTTTTTCTAGGTTGTTCAGGAAATTAAGCTCTGTCATTTCTGAAAAAGAGCACTGCTTCATACCTGTTTATTGATTAGACAGCTGGTTTCTTTGCAATGTTCAAACAGGATTTTGTTGGCAAAGGAAGGGCAATCCTAAAACAATGTTAAATCACAGCTACTTTGCTGGAAGCTTGAATGCGAAATTCAAGGGCAGAGGGGAAAGATAGAAAGAGATTACTCTCCCACACACAAAAAAATATTGATTATTAAATTTAATAAGAGGACCCATTTGAAAATCCTGTAAAGGCCCCAGTTTGAGTTATACAGTAAGTGCTTATAGATCTCCCATGAAATTAAGAGTCTATCATTGTCACCTAGAGGCTTTTTACATTAACTAATTTTCTAGGTTAACATGGTACCAAAATTAATTGAAAAGGAGGTAAATACAATGTTGATTTATTTCCATAACATCAAGGCAATATGAAATGACAACTGAAAATAACAGCACATTGTGCACACAAGATATTCAGCATTTTTGGCTATTGATTTTTTTTTACAGAGTTCCTCTTTCAAAGATGAGGTTACAAGATTAAAGCCTTAAATTTCTCAACAGCAGAAAGGATTACGAGGAATTTAAAATAATTTACTGCATATGCTATTTTAGAAAACTCCACTGAATTTGAATTGTAAGGATAAAAGGTGTCAAAGCTTTAAAATAATGTATTATACTCTACTCATGTGATTTGACGTTAGCCCATTTGAAGTAATTTGTTAAAGACAATAAGTTAATATAGAATTTTACTTCTCCTACACACAGTACATGTACCAAAGTTGTCACATTTCATCCATTTCACCCTTATTGAACTAGTGACTTGCATACAGAGTGCACTGATTAATCAGAGTTTTACAGATTAACAGGAGATTAACAGGTTAAACAGGAGGAGACCTTTCGACAAATATTAGATATAATTTTAACTGTGGTAATCCAAGGATACAGGATTACAAGCCAGAGACAGATTTTAATTGCGATGAGACTGGCATGTTTTGGAAGCTAGTGGTGAGTTGAACTGACATCTCTAAGGAGGAGAAATCAGTTCCAGGTTTTAAAACGGGAAATGATAGGTTAAATCCATACACACGTTTGAATGCTTTGGATGATAGTTTGGTGCAACCAATGATTCTCATTTGCTTTGAAAAGCCAGAATAAGAGCCTATTACCAGTGTTGAGAGCTACCTGTAGTCAAAGAATTTGGCCTTCAAGTTTCTCCTTATCTTGGATAATGCGCTAGGCCACCCCAAAGTTCTCAGACCAACCCATCCCAATGCTGAAATTGCGTATTTGCCCAAGATTGCCACCTCATTTATGCAGCATCTTGATCGAGGTACATCTCTACTTTCAGAAGC